AACCCACACGTGAGCTCTCCTGCCACGCGGAGATGGTCCTTACTGGGAAAGAGCAGCTAGTCCCCAAACCGGGAGAGGAGGTTGCAGGAAAAAAAGAGATCCCAGAAGAAACTGGAGAAACAAAAACCTATGGCCTGGGAGTAAATTCTGCATAAAATAAATGCAAATAGAAGTTAAAAAAAAAACCAAAACCTTTTGTGGTCCCCAAAGTGTCCAGCACGGTAGCACCTACATAGGGGGTCGCTCATCAGTGTGAGTGAGTGGGTCCTGTCAGCCTCTCCTACCTGGTCTGGGAGCCCATTGGGGTCTTTATTGCCAGGCACTGTGGGAGGCCGCAAGAATCTTCCCTCAAGAGAGGTGTTAACCCTCTTCAGGTAAAATTGGGGCAAGTCGAATACAAACGGATGAAGAAGGAGTCTTCTGTAAAAGTAACCTGCTCCATCACCCACTCTGAGAAATTTCTAGGAACATCTAAAATTTAGTCTGAGAATTTAGTTCTATAGTGTCAGGGATATTCCTGGATAGAACACATCTAAAATGTAGCCAAGTCTGATAATTCGTGTGTCAGTAAGGATCTGTTTCACTGTGAGGTGACAGAGTAGTGTCTCCCCCCGCCCCCCCCCCAATATCAGGCACTTGGGGTCAAACAAGTTTTGGGGAAACTACACTGTATGCCCATTTGGGGACATCACAGAGCATATTAACTTATTAAAGGCTACTGGAGATCTGGCATTAAACCAATTGACTGTTTAACAACATTTCTGATTTTTATGTCCATAAAATGCTTTATGGGAGCCCCACATACATTTTGCAGAAACCAAGGAGCATGCTTTTGGAAATGGTATAACAATGGAAAGAGCAAGTCACGGTCTGGTTGTCTTCCTTGCTGTCCAAGGGGGAAGTCATTCTGAGCATTCTTACTTTGCCAAGTGTATTCATTCCTGCCTTGGGGAGTGGGGCGGGGGAATGCTTCAGGCAGAACTCCCCGGTTTCCTTGTTCCTTTCTTAGCTTATTTTTATTATAAACTGGCTTCACATGAAGCGTTCCCAGAGGAGGAAAATGTCCTGACCGTGCCAAAGCAAGCATTCTCTTCTACTTGGTGATTGTGTTTTGATCACATTTGGGTTTACTGACCAAATGATGTTTCTGAGCCTCTGAAGCTAGGGCCAGTGATGAATTCTCCCTGGCCAGCCTGTTGCTGTCACCTCGCCTCTTGCCTCTGCTGTTTCTTCCATCCACCCACCCTTTTTATCTGTCACCACATCTGCTGCTTCCATTCCCGGCCACAGCTGTACAGCTTTTTGGATTTAATGGGATCTGTCCTCTCTTTGAGTCCTCTGCCCATTATGTGTTTCAGGCTGGTTTGTTATCTGATGTTCCTTTCCTCCAGTATATATGGTTTCTCTTCATTTTATAGCTCGGAGAGAGTTTTGAGTTAAACAGCCGTACAACTGGGAAGGAGTAAGTTATTAATAAACTACAGGAGCAAACTACCTTTAACTAAAGGATTTTTAGGCTTAATTGCAACTCCTTTTAAATGTTGAAGTTCTTTTATTCCGTCTTCCATAACCTAGCGAAGCTCTGTTTTCTTGGGGATACATTGTAGGTTAGCCAAAGACATTCTCTTTTGTGGAGCAATCAGGCAATCCAGGGCTCATCCAAGATTGAGACGTTGTTTCTCCCATGCAGGGAAAATAATGAGGCACCTGCTTTCGTACCCCGGGGTCTGCTGGCTATGTCAGCCAATGTTTGGGGCATAGCATTCTGTCAGATTTTTAAATTTATTTTTTTATTAGGTCGTCTCTCAAGGTTGTTGGTTGTCAGAGCTTTAAACAAAAGCTACATTATGTGACTAGTCATTGTTTTTCAACTCCTGTTTGACTAAAGCCATTCAGTGATCCTAAGAAATGTTTGTTAGGAGCTCACATCACATAACAACCTTCTAAAGTCGTGCGATGGACAGGGAAACTGAGGCTCCCGGGGGGGGGGGGGGGGGGGGGGTTTCATAGCTAGGAAGCGGTACAGCTAGCCTTTGAACCCAGATACGTTTGCTTTGTGGAAATATATTTTATCTGTAATTTTTCCTTCTTCCATTCCCAGGTCAAAAAGTAAAATGAAGTACATTCTAGTTACTGGTGGTGTTATATCAGGAATTGGAAAAGGAATCATCGCCAGCAGCGTAGGCACGATACTGAAATCATGCGGTTTACATGTAACTTCAATTAAAATTGACCCATACATTAACATTGATGCGGGAACATTCTCTCCTTATGAACATGGTAAGCACGATGCATTTCTTTCTTTTGTTAAAATAATAATTATGGAGTATGTGGAAGAATATACATCAGCCCTTGGAAATGGTGTGTATTTTGTATTACGTGACTTGCATTTCCTGCCTTCCAAAAAGGTCCTTAGTGTTAGCAGAATCTGTTTTTCTCACCTTGACAGAGAGGAAGCAGAAATCTAAATAGGCAACATAGTGATTAGAGTCTAGAGGTTTCTATAATAGAAACCCCTCTCTGAGGGGGAAAAAATAAGACATTTTTCCCTTTCCAGTTTTTATGCTGGTCTCCTATTGTGATGGTAGGAATGAACCATTCTGGGCAAGACTTCTAGAATGACGCCTCAAGGAATGAATGTCAAACAAAGGAATGGGAGAAACTTGGAGTTTCACAACTTTGTTTGGGACTAAAGTGTAGCCCAGAAGCTGGTTTTTGTAATCAGCAGGACCTTAGTATGCAGTGTGAGCTTTGAAGGAAATCATGCTTTTATCACGTTTGAAACCTTTTGCTGCACAAGTAGGCATTGTTGAAAGTGCTTTCTCTTTAGGCAGCAGATACCACACTCCTGTAAAGTTCCCTGTCTCCACCGCCCTTGAGGCTATGATTTCCTTCCGTTCAATGCTATTTTATACCTTCCTGATTCAGACCGAGCTTGTTGATAGGCTGGAAGTAAGCTCTTGCCTTCTGGAGAATGGTTGGTGATATTTTTCTTTCTTTTGTGTCATATTTAGTTTTCTAGAAATAAATTTCTCTGCTTCATGTCCAGGTAATGCAGACTTTGTTCTATTTGAGTGTTTATATTTTGAGCCTCACATTTGCCATGACATGGGTGTTTCTCACTTTACCCTGACCGTTTTCACTATTCACCGCAGGCGAGGTTTTCGTGCTGGATGATGGTGGGGAAGTAGATCTTGATCTAGGGAACTATGAGCGGTTCCTAGACATCCGCCTCACCAAGGACAATAATCTGACCACTGGAAAGATCTACCAGTACGTTATTAACAAGGAACGCAAAGGAGATTACTTGGGGAAAACCGTCCAAGGTAAAACTGGATTTGCCCTCAAGGTGTGAAAACCTTAAGCAGTTTGCTTTTCTTTTGTGAACAAAAATTTACTTTTCATGCAATTTCAGCCTGAAAGCGTCCAGGTATTGTTACTGAACCATGCCTTCCGTTGAAAATTTAGAGTTGTATGGCTGTTTACCCAAAAAGTAATTTGAAGGAGCCCCTGCTGCTGTGTGAATGCCACTGAAGCTATCAGTCCGGCATGATTTGAGCCCAGAGAGCTGTTGTTTTTACACAGTGATGGATGTGAAGTGACGAAGGCAGCTAGATCAGGGCAGTCAGCCAGGCCGTGTATATATGTTGTGCATGTGGGACCCACTTGTAAACAGTGGTAGGACAAGAACGTGCGTTGTGTACGTTGGTCTGCAGGCTGGTCATCGGTGCGCGTGGGCCTGTGGGAGTCTGAGAAGCGGCTCTCTGGGTCTCCTGCCCTTTTACCAGCCAGCTTCACTTATGTTCGCCTGCTGCCCTGGGGTTTTGCACAGCATTCATTTGAGAAAATTGCCACTCTTGAAAGGTGGGGTTGGAAAACCACTGGTCTAGTGTGATGGCTTAAGTCCAAATTTGGGGGGGTGGGAGAGGTTTGCTGAAAAGTGGCTTTTCTCGAGTTATGAGAGTGAATCTGCCCTTGGCTTTAGACTTTGCTAAATTGAAAGCCACTTAGCCCCTGCTTAGCCCATGTTTAGATCTTAGCCCTGCCACTTACCAGCTTTGTGAACACAGGCAGATTACTTAACCTCTTTGAGATCTGGCTCTCTTTTCTGCCAAATGGAGTTACTAACTACCTGGCTCTCCTGATTGCTTGGAGGGCGAAAAGAGCTGCGTGACACCGTTTCTCTGAGTTCCTGACACGTAGAAAGGGGATCAGTTAGGAATTAAGATGATCTCGATCATACAGTTTGTTGTTCTAGGCCTCCAGCGAATTCATTCTTGTGTGCATTCATTCGTCACATGTTTCTTGAATGCTCACTGCGGACATACCCTGTCTGGCGCTGGGGCTACGGATGAAGGAGACCAGCGAGGCTCCCGCCCCCATGGGGGCTTCCGCGTGGGAGACACAAAAACAAACAGATGAAACAAGATGTCTGATAAGAGCTGTGAAGGAAATAGGAGAGAGAATGCATGGGGACGGCCAGTTTGGACAGGTGGTTAGGGAGACTCCACGAGGGGGCATTGTGGAGGAGAGAGGCCAGCCAGGGGACAGGCGGAGGAGGGGCCTGAGGCCTGAGGCTACAGTCAGGCCAGGGGACCAGGGGGATGGGTGTGGGGAGTGGGGGCGGTGAGGTGGGCTGCAGCCAGGTTATGTATGGCCTTTTGGGCCTTGGCCTGGAGTTTGGATTTTACTCAGAGCGGTGGGAAGCCATTGAAGAGTTTAAAACACGGGATGGGGGGAAACTGCATATTTAAAAGATCCCTTTGGCTGCTGTGTGTGCAGTAGATAATGAATATCCTTGTGCCTGAGGCACTGCTGCTTAAATACAGAGCAGGTTAAACAGTAATCCCTGCCCCTTAGGAACCTGCCTTCTGGCCCGACAGCTAGGGTTTTAAAAAGTGTTCAGCGCTGGCTGACTTTGCTGAGCACTGGCATGCTAGGCGCTCTGCTTAGCATTGTACCAGTGGTGGCTCATGAAATTTGCACAACTTTATGAAGTGGAAGCTGTTATCTCCACTTAGCGGATAGGGAAATCGAGCTTAAGAATAGTTAAGCGGTGTCCCAAGGATCCATACCTAATGAGAGGTGGAACTGAGGTTCGAATCTGACATTCTGGCCCCAAATGCTGTGCTCCTGACCACCCCGCCGTCCTGTACCCTCTCTTATCTGTGGATTGTGTATCCTCTGATAAACTGGAACATAATGGAACAGGGGCCTGGAAGGCACCCAGGTGTGAAGTGTGCCAGCCTTCAGCAGTAGTGGTGCGGCGGCCACAGGGTCTGTTGAATGGTGGTGCAGCCCTGGGGCCCTCTGCAGAGGGGCCAGGGCACTGATGCGGGTTCAGGATATATTCTTGGCTTTACCCTCTTGTGCTTCTAGCCACGACTTGGAAACCTGGAAAGGAGGCCACAGACAGTGGGAGCTCAAAGATTTCTTTAATTTTTTTTTTTTAATGTTTGTTTATTTCTGAGACAGAGAGAGACAGAGCATGAATGGGGGAGGGGCAGAGAGACAGGGAGACACAGAATCCGAAGCAGGCTCCAGGCTCTGAGCTGTCAGCACAGAGCCCGACGCGGGGCTCGAACTCACAAACCGCGAGATCATGACCTGAGCTGAAGTCGGATGCCCAACCGACTGAGCCACCCAGGCGCCCCCGAGCTCAAAGATTTCTTAATGCCATGTAAGAGTGGTCTCAAAAATATGTTTATGACCCCTTCACCGCTCCAGGCAAAGATTGCGGCCGTTTGTTGTCATAGTAAGTGTATCTCCCTCCACCAGTGTTGATAGGAAAGTGTATGTTACGTGCCTCTTTCCTCTTTTCCAGTTGTCCCTCACATCACAGATGCAATCCAGGAGTGGGTCATGAGACAGGCGTTAATACCTGTGGATGAAGACGGCCTAGAGCCTCAAGTGTGTGTTATTGAGGTTTGTAGGAGTCTTTTCTAACCAAGTGTACACACACATTCACCTCCTTAGTCAGCCATCAGCACCTGGTAAGACAGTGCTCTGTGAGGCCCTTGACCCTAACCACAGTGGGACAGGTAAGGGCACAGTGACAGTCCTGGGATGGGGCCAGGCCGTTGAACGTGAGTAGGTGCAAGCGATCAGAGGTGCAGAGCGAGCCTCTTCGTTCACTTATCATGACTGTACCAGTAAGAGCCGCAGGACACATTTTCCTCTCTCTCTTGAGAAAGTCAGCTGACCTTCATCTCTCCTCTGGTGGGAATCCTCTCATCTCTGAATGAGCCCCGTTGCTTTCAGTTTCTTTACTCCTGCTCTGCTGGTCCTAGCCGTTGGATGTAAAATAGAGGACTCAGAAATTCCATCAGCCTATTACTGATACCTTGTCACACAACAGTTATTTATGGCTAAGTAGATAAGATTTAGGTTTCTTGGCTTCGTGACTGGTATGAATAAAGTTTCTAGTATATCTTTCACCTGGCCTTTTTCTTGGCCAGATCTGCCAGATCCATAGCTTTGGGGAATGGAGAGCCTGTCCAGAAAAGTAGCTGTTCAGCATAAAGAAATGTCATTTACTGCTAAGTGACATGAACTGCGCTCAGAGAGTTCACATTATGCTGTTACTGATCGCTGAGCTGAGGTAATGGGGTGCAGTTGTCCGAAAACTGACCCATGAAAGGAAGGGTTAGTGCTTGATCTCTAACAGAACTTTGTTCTTGTAGCTCGGTGGAACAGTGGGAGATATAGAAAGCATGCCCTTTATTGAGGCCTTCCGTCAGTTCCAGTTCAAGGTCAAAAGAGAGAACTTTTGTAATATTCACGTCAGTCTAGTCCCTCAGGTAAGGCATTCTAATTTTACTTTGTGGAGGTGGGAAGGAGAGAGAAGAGGGTGCTTTTCATTCCTTGTCTATTTTAGGTGTGTGAGATGCAGGGAATAAAGACTGTCTTTGTGAATTTAAAATTACTGTAATCAGACTTTTGGAAAAGCTCAGATGGAAAACATTTGGAAAATTAGCCAGGGAAGTTGCGGTTGAAGGTGGTGGATTGAAAATGTCCCATTTGGGGGCCCCTGGGGGGCTCAGTCAGTTATACGCATCCGAATTCTGCTCAGGTCATGAGCTTGTGGTTTGTGGATTCGAGCCCTGTGTCAGGCTTTGTGCCGACAGTGCGGAGCCTGCTTGGGATTCTCTCTGCCCCTCCCCCACTCACACTTACTCAAACTAAATAAACTTAAAAAAAAAAAAAGTCCCACTTGTCTCTACAATATGGTGAAACCCCACTACAGCTAGAGCAAAGGGAATTTTTTTTTTTTTTAAGGTTTGTATATTTTGAGAGAGAGAGTACGTACATGCGTGCACTTGAGCAGGGGAGAAGCAGAGAGAGGGAGAGAGAAAATTCCAAGCAGGCTCCACGTTGCCAGTACAGAGCCCAGTGTGGGGCTCAATCTCACGCACCGGGAGATCATGACCTGAGCTGAAATCAAGAGTCAGATGCTTAACTGACTGAGCCACCTAGGCACTCCCAAGTGAGCAGTATTTAAATACTCAAACACATGTTAACACTGGAGAGGTATCATGAGATGGGCTGCAGGCACGGGACAGGTGCGTGTGTAATAGAGGGAGAGGGTTCCTCCTCTAGGAGGGAAATCAATAGAAAATGCCTCAAACTACATGTCTAGATGTAGCGGGAAACATACCAGAAGGATCATTTAAGAGTGGAAGATTGGCTGCCCCTGGGGTTCGAGGAAGGGGAGGGGTTCACTGTCCTGTTGTTCAGAACAGACCTTGTAGAACCATTTGACTCTAAAATCTATGCACGAGTACCTTTGACAAAAATAAAAACTAAATTAGATAAATGATCAATAAAGGAAGTTCAGAGAAAAGTCATACTTAAAAAATTTTTTTATCGTAGAGAAATTAACTTTTTTTTTTTTCCCTTTTGTAAAATAGCCAAGTTCAACAGGGGAGCAGAAAACTAAACCCACCCAGAATAGTGTTCGGGAACTTAGAGGGCTCGGGCTTTCTCCAGATCTGGTAAGATTTTATGATTCCCTGGTTTCAAGCTTGATCTTGTATGCTTAATTAAAATCTCTCTCTCATGGGAAAAATAAGATAAAAACTGAGAGGGAGGCAGACCATAAGAGACTCTTTTTTTTTTTTTTTTAATGTTTATTTATTTTTGAGACAGAGAGAGACAGAGCATGAACGGGAGGGTCAGAGAGAGGGAGACACAGAATTGGAAACAGGCTCCAGGTTCTGAAGGTCAGCACAGAGCCCGGACCGTCAACTCAGGATCATGAGATCATGACCTGAATCAAGTCGGCCAGCTTCAACCGGACCGAGCCACCCAGGCGCCCCAAGAGACTCTTGAATACAGAGAACAAACTGAGGGCTGCTGGAGGGGAGGTGGGTGCGGGAGGGCCTAAATGGGTGATAGGCATTAAGGAGGGCCCTTGTTGGGCAAACCACAGGTATAAGGCGATGAATCACTGGGCTCTTCTCCCAAACCAGTAATGACACTATGTGTTAACTAATTCGGATTTAAGTAAATTAAAAAAAAATTTTTTTAAATGCAAAAAAAAAAAATCTTCCATGTACCGTATGACTTCACTTATATGGAATTAAAAATTGAAACAAATAAGCGCCTGGTATTAGTCGGTTATGTCCGACTTCAGCCAGGGTCATCGACCAAGGGTCCTCATGAATGCAGTTCTGCCGGGTTTCCGGCTCACGGCTCGAGCCTGGAGCCTGTTTCCGACTCCTGTGTCTCCTCTCTCTGCCCCTCCGCCTCGCTCATGCTCATTCTCTCTTGTCCCAAAAAAATAAATAAACGCTGAAAAAAAATTAAAAAAAAAAAAAGAAACAAACAAAAGAGACCCACATCTGAGACCAAACTGGTGTGGTTGCCAGAGGAGGGGCGGTGGGATGGGCAGGATGGGAGACAGGTTTGTCAGTTATGGAATGAATAAGTCATGGGGATGAAAGGCACAGCGAGGAATATGGTCAGTGGTGGTGCAGGGGTAATGGCTGGCCCTGTGGTGGTGGCTGCACAGGTAGTCTGTACTCTTGTGAGCAGAGTTTTAGGGTATAGAGTTGAATCATTAGGTTGTTTTTCTGGAGCCACTGCAACATTGTGTATCTAACCTGATACTGTTTAAAAAAAACCGAGAAATTTGCTTCCACAGCAGCAGATAAGACCTCTGTTTTCTTGGCATGCTTTTTCGCTGGTGGTGGAGAAACAGGGTTAGTGCTTGGTTGTCTTTACAAAGATTTCACGGGCAATGCTGGTCAGCGCGCTTTGTGTCTCCTCTCTGTCTGTCATTTGTTGTCCCTTCCCCCCCCCCCCCCTCACAAGACATTAAACTGAGGAAACCCCAGTTGGTTCCTGTAGTTCGTTATCTGTGTGTTCATCTGTACCATTCCTCTCCCCTCAGCCCCCACCTTAATGTTTCCTCTCCTCCCGAGCTGAGGAATTTCAGCTTTGAAAACAGGTCATATTTTCATAGTTGGTGTGCATTGTGCTGGAGTTAACATTTTCATCCAGCTTAAGAAGCTGGTGTCTGTTTTAATTTCAGTCAGGAGAAAAACCCAACTTTGTGGTCCCTTCCTTCTGTCCAGACGGCTTACTTTCTTTCCCGCTAGGTCGTGTGCAGGTGCTCAAATCCTCTGGACACATCGGTGAAGGAGAAAATATCCATGTTCTGCCACGTCGAACCTGAACAAGTAAGTAGGAATTTCATATTCACACAAATCGTGTTGGATTTCTAGTTACCCGGAAGTCTCTTCACCGCTTTCCTGAGGCTTGTCCATTCCCAATTTGAGACATTGGACCGTTCTCTAGAACTGATTCCTGTTGGCTCTGTGCTTCTCCGGTACCTTACCTCTTTGGCTTTCTGAACATCCTTGCCCCCTCCTGCCACCTCTCCCCAACTCCTTGTACTCTGCTCCAGCCATGCTGAATGGGTCGCCCTCCCCGTCGGCCTGGCTTTGTCCTGTTCATTTTCATCCCTCAGGGTCCAGCCAGGACACAGTATTGTCTGGCAGCCTTTACCTGTCAAACCACGTCACCTCCAAACCTCATGGTTGGTCTTTCTTGGGTGACCTGTGTGTATTACAGGTGCTGGTTGTGAACCTGTCCTGCTGCCCCTCTGAGAGAGAGAGTGTGTGTGTGTGTGTGTGTGTGTCCATCTGTGTTTGCCTCCACTCATAGACTTGGAGTTTCTTGAAGGCAAGGACCACCTCATTCAACTTCATACTCCTAGTGCCTGGTGTCTGAGGTGGTAGAGGCTCCAAACCTATTTTATTTTATCTCATTTTATTTTTTTAAGTTTGTTTGTTTATTTATTTTGAGAGACACAGACAGTGTGAGTAGGGGAGGGGCAGAGAGAGGGGGAAAATCCCAAGCAGGCTCTGCACCATCAGCGTAGAGCCCGTTGCGGGGCTCGAGCTCATGAAACTGAGATCATGACCTGAGCCAAAACCAAGAGTCAGACACTTGACCGACTGAGCCACCCAGGTGCCCCTAAACCTATTTTAGACTTTTTCATGACCTGTGCTAATGGAGGGTGCCCACCAAACAGGAAATTCAAATTTGGGGTATGGCGGGGACGTCCTGGTGGTGGTAAGTTGAGACTGTGGCTCTGGTCAGGTTTGGCTGAAGGAGGGGAGAAGGGACGTTGAGGTCTAGGAATCTGTGACTAGATTGTGGGTGGTTTGCTTTGCTGGTGGGTTACTGGGGACCAGGAGATTTGGCTGAAGGAGGGGAGCCTGGCTGGCCGGGAGAGGAGAGAATCAGCAGCAGAGTTGTATTTCATCCATCCATTTACAGGACAGCGAGGAGTATGGAAGTGAGGGTAAGAAAGTCTGGCCTGGCATTGAAGTGAGCAGAGCAGGACAGCCTCTGACCTCCCCATCTCAGGGGGCGCTCAGGCGTCAGGGTGTGAGCACGGCCTGGGGCCTGAGATCAGTGTCCTAGTGTGCTTCCTGATCTGGGAGCTCTGTCTCAGGGATTCGGCTTCATACTAAAGACCAGATCTTCCTCGACTTAACAAAAGCTAAATCCTGGTAAACCTGTTGTAAGTTGAAAACATCGTAAGTCGAAAATGCAATTAGTACACCTAACCTACCTTAAGTGTGCTCAGAAAACTTACATTAGCCTGTGGGTGGGCAGAATCCTCTCACACAAAGACGATTTTACAATAAAGTGTTGAATGTCTTGTGTAGTTTGCCGAACGCTGTACTGAGAGTAGAAAACAAGAGTGGTTGTATGGGCACAGAATGGCTGTAAGCATATTGGTTTTTCACACTGGTGATCGTGGGGCTGATTGGGAACTGTGGCTCACTGCCACTGCTGGGCACCACGAGAGAGAGGGTACCATGAGAGAGGATACGGCCTGTTGCTAGCCTGGGAAAAGATCAAAATGCAGAGTACCCTTTCTGCCAGCTGTGTGTTTTTTTCACACCATCCTAAAGCAAAATACAGTAAGTTGAACCATTGTAAATTGGGGACTATATGTGGCGCACCAGAATAATTTCATTGTTACGAGCAACCTTTTTATCACGCACTTCAATTATTTGAGATATTTCCATCCTAGCAAGTGAAGGTAATTCAGTTCCGTGGTAGACTAGGTTATTAAAATTATTCACTGTTAAAAATGTGACAGGTGTTTCTAGATTTAAATTTGAATTTCAAACCTTTTGCCTGTTTTTTAATTGAGTTGCTTGTCTTCTAGGAGTTGTCTGCATATTCCGAATAAAAGTCTTTTATCAGATACATGGTTTGCACATTTTCCTCCAAGGCTCTTATTTTTTTAATGGTGTCTTTTGGAACACAAAAGCTTTTACATGATTATGAACTCCAGTTTATCCGTTTTTTTCTTTATAGATTGTGCTTTTGGTATCCTATCCAAGAGCTCCATTTAACAAATGCCACAAAGATTTCCTTCTGTTTCATTCCAAAACTTTTATAATTTTAGGTCTTTTGTTTAGGCCTAGGATCCACTGTGAGTTAACTTTTATGTATAGCAACTTTCCAGTAAAAGTTGAAATTCATCTTTTTGCCTGTGGATAGCCAGTTCGAGGTCCATTTGTTGGAAGGATTGTCCTTCAATAATAATCTATAATTTCTTCATAAAGGTGCTTTTTAAAGATTCAACTATCTTTGTGAAGTTTTTTTCTAGATTTAATTATAGGTATTCATAATTTTTGTAACTACGTGAATGGCATATTTTTAAACTTAAATTTCCTGATTAGATATGACCCATGTATAGCAATCTTGCAGACCTTCTGTCCATGGATCTCAAGCCTAGCAGCCTTACTGAAATTCTGTTAGTTTTGATTGTTTACTGGTAAATGCTCATGGTTTTTATGGATAAGCAATAATAGTGTATGAAATTCTTGGCACTTTCTTATTTTCCAGCACATGTATATTTTTTTTTTCTTGAAAAAATTTTTTTAAATGTTTGTTTATTTTTGGGAGAGAGAGAGATAAGAGTGTGAGTGGGGGAGGGGCAGAGAGAGAGGACACAGAATTTGAAGCAAGCTCCAGGCTCTGAGCTGTCAGCACAGAGCCTGTCGCGGGGCTCGAACTCATGGACCATGAGATCATGACCTGACCGAAGTTGAACGCTTAACCTACTGAGCCACCCAGGCGCCCCTTTAAAATTGTTTTTTTTTTTTTTAATGTTTATTTATTTTTGAGAGAGAGACAGAGTGGGAGCGGGATCGGGAGAGGAACAGAGAGAGAGGGAGACACAGAATTCAAAGCAGGCTCCAGGCTCTGAGCTATCAACACAGAGCCCAACATGGGGCCTGAAGTCATGAACCATGAGATCATGACCTGAGCCCAAGTCGGATACTTAGCCGACTGAGCCACCCAGGTGCCCCTGCTTTTTTTCTTACTTAATTGTAATGGCTAATATTTCTAGTACATTATTGAATAGACGTAGTCATAGTGACCACTTTTGCCTTCTTTCAGACTTTAAATATTAAGCGTTAATATTAAATATTGAACAAAATGATGTTTGCTCTGGTTTTTTTTAAACATTTTTCACATTTTCCCTTTTACTCATACACCAAGAATTTTAATCATGGATTGGTTTTGAATTTTTATTAGCTCTGCATCCACTAAGGCAAATTTTGTTTTCCTTCTTTAATCTGTTCGTGTAGTAAATCCCACTGTTAAATATCCTAATGCAGCTGTTCTCAAACTCAGCCCGGAAAAGTACTATGCCTGCTTCCCAGCCCCAGAGATTCTAGTTTAAGTGATGTGTGGTGCAGTATGGGCTTGTGGATTTTTAAAAGGTCTCCCAAGTGATTTCAGTGTACCGCCAAGTTTGACAGCCATTGTTCTTGGGACAAATCCTACTTGAACATGAGTTGTTTTAAAACTACATTTATGTTTGGTTTGTGATTTTTTTAAAAAAAATTTTTAATGTTTATTTATCATTGAAAGAGACAGAGCATGAGTGGGGGAAGAACAGAGAGAGAGGGAGACACAATTTGAAGCAGGCTCCAGTCTCTGAGCTGTTAACACAGAGCCTGACGTGGGGCTCGAATTCACAGACCACGAGATCATGACTTGAGCCAAAGTCAGACGCTTAACCAGCTGAGCCACCCAGGTGCCCTGTGATTTTTTTTTTTTTTTAAAGGATTTTTGCGTCCATGTTCTTAAGAGATTAGCCGCTAATTTTTTATTCTGTTCTTGAGTTGGTTTGGGTAATTTCTACTTTTCCTAGAAAATAGCCCTTTTTGCCATTTTCAGATTTGGAAGTTATTTTCTGACGGTGACATAGCCAGTAGGAGGGTGCCAGCCCAGTTAGCTTTTGCTTGTTTTTATTAATAACCTTTGCTCCTTTCTCTGCAGGTGATCTGTGTCCACGATGTCTCATCCATCTACCGAGTCCCCTTGTTATTAGAGGAGCAGGGGGTCGTAGATTATTTTCTCCGGAGACTTGACCTTCCAATCGAGAGGCAGCCACGAAAAATGCTGATGAAGTGGAAAGAGATGGCGGACAGGTTTGTGTCATGATAAGGAGCTGGGAGTTGGAGCTTTTGTTCTCCTTCTCGTGAGGTCTCAGGGAATTCGCTTGTGCTGTCAGCTCATATTAGAGAAGGTCTTCGTGGTGAGAGGTGTCGAGACAGGTTCAGGGATGAGGAGGTCCTGGTAGAGCCGAGGTCAGGTCACACACCTATCGCCTTAGGTCCCCTCGACTAGAGAATCGGCACCGACTGACCACACCTGGGCGAGCCGTCACGCCCGAGGCCCACACAGATGGCGGGCCAAGCCCGCAGCGCTCCTGGGGCGCCTCCCGGCCCCTGAGCTGCGTGTGGGACTGGGCTGCTCACCGCACACCAGGAAAGGAGGAGCAGGGGTGCCTAGCCTGGTGTGTGGCTACTGCTGCCAGATTGTGTCCCTCTGAGAACTGTCCTGTTCCTTTTTAAGCCCAGTGATGCTTTGATGCCACATCAGAGGTCTTCACGCGGCGCCTCAGAGCCCCGGGTGTGTGCCCTGTCGCAGCTGCCGAATCAGCCCGACGGTGTTAATAAGCGCTCGTCACGTTGCTCTGTGATGCTTACTTTCCTTTTGACACTTTCCCTTTTAGTCTTCATCCGTCTACGTGTATATCCGTATGTCGCTACAAAGATGGCGCACAGTTCTATGATATTTTTTCATACAGTATTACCAACTCGTTAAAAAAAAATGTTTCTTTTGAGAGAGAGGGAGAGAGAGAATCCCAGGCTCTCTCTGTGCTGAGCACGGAGCCTGGCATGGGGCTTGATCCCATGAACCAGGAGATCATGACCTGCACTGAAAGCAAGAGTCAAACACTTAACCATCTGAGCCATCCAGGCACCCCATAAACTTTTTTGATCTGTTACTAATTACTTTATGATGAAAAAAAATTCTTTTAAATGTTTATTTATTTTTGAGACAGAGAGAGAACAGAGCATGAGCGGAGGAGGGGTATAGAGAAGCGGCGGGGCGGGGGTAGGGGGGAGGGAGACACAGAATCAGAAGCAGGCTCCAGGCTCTGAGCCATCAGCCCAGAGCCTGACACGGGGCTCGAACTCACGGACTGTGAGATAATGACCTGGCTGAAGTCGGACACTCAACCAACTGAGCCACCCTGGCGCCCCATGATGAAAATTTTTAATGAATATAGACTGCTGTGTGAATATTTTTGACTCTTTCCTTCATCACATTAACTCTTATGAATTGTCTGTTCATGTCTGTTAGTTTTTCTTACTCCTTGGGATTTTAATGTTTCCTGGTTTTGTTTTTTAAGTGTCTATCCTTTCTTTCTCTTGCTCGCTCTTCTTTCTTTCTTTCTTTCTTTCTTTCTTTCTTTCTTTCTTCCTTCCTTCCTTCCTTCCTTCCTACCTACCTACCTACCTACCTACCTAATCTATCTATGTAACTATAGAGAGAATCCCAAGCAGACTCCTCACTGTCAGCATGGAGCTCAGTACGGGGCTAAAACCACAGGATCATGACCTGGGCTGAAACCAAGAGTTGGACACTTAACTATCTGAGCCACCCAGGTGCCCCTAAAATCCTACTTTCTTTACAAAGCCTGCCACATGGATTTGAAAGTAGCTCCCTCTCTACTGTCCTGGAAATGAAACTCAGATAATATCTGCTCTCGTTATATTCTTCCCAGAGATGTTTTTCTCCTTTTTAGAAAGCAGTTTTGATCTCATGATGGCATATACGTTCTAAATAATTTGGTGTTTCTTGGCCTTTCATAGATACGATCGCTTGCTGGAGACCTGCTCTATTGCCCTCGTGGGCAAATACACCAAGTTCTCAGACTCGTATGCCTCTGTCATTAAAGCTCTGGAGCATTCTGCCCTGGCCATCAACCACAAGTTGGAAATCAAGGTAAGGATGGGTGGCGCATATTCAGCTGAGGCACGAACGGGGAGGCCTTCTGCGTTCTCATAGATGCTGCATGATATCTACTTTATATTTTTGGAACTCAGAATTTCTTTTTAGGAAGAGAAAGGATTCATGGTTGGCTCCTGGCTTGGAGAGAACAGTAGAACATTTTCAGGAGATGTTGAAGGGGAGAGATGGTCAGAGTAGTAGTTGAGAAAGTGAGTAGTTGAATTTGAATTATCAGGTGACCACGTAAAATTGACCCATGGGCATGGGGGAGCCCCAGTGAGCCAGAGGCACCCTGCATAATTGCTCTTCACTTACCTTTGCAGTGGAAATGCTAACACCCACCTGCTGGAGCTGGTAGGTTTCTCTGAAATGTATGTCCAGTTGCCTGGTCAGTGCCTGGAATGTGGGCAGCCTCCAGGGAAGAGCACGTCTTGTGTTTTGCCCTATGACTTGATGGGCGGGAGCTGAGCCGATGGGGCACGGCCCCTGCTCATCTTCTTGGGGCAATAGAGTATTAAGGTTCGGGACTCCAATTCCGGCTGTCCTCCCCACTGGCACTGGGGTTGGCCTTCTACTTCACCAGGTGTTTCTCAGCGTCATAATTTAGTTTGCTTTGTGCTTGCGAACAGGTTGCTGTGGAATGTCTTACTGTATAGATTTTAAGAATTATGGAATCTTATTCCACTTCCCTGACTTCCTGTTGCTGCTGCTTTGGCTCATTCATCTGCTGTATCCACTCGGACGTAGTCTGTGCCTGTCGTTAGATGCGGGGATGAGAGGTGAATGAGTCAGTGAGGTCTCTGAGATGTGACACAGAAGAAGGGGTGAATCTGTCTGGGTAGACGTGTGAGGAGGGCAGACTTCCTCAAGGAGGGACTCTGGGAGACTTTGGGAAGATGGGTAAGGCAGAAGGGAAGGGCGTCCGGACAGAAGGTAGAGAATACCCAAGGGCTTGGAGACGGGGAATAGTTGGGAAGTCCGTGGATGGACAAGTGTGACTCAGAAGATATCTGGAGACAGGCCTGTGAGGTCATGAATCCTGCCAACTGGGCCACAGCTGGGTCTTACCCTGAGGTTTAGGGAAGTCACTGCAGGGTATTAGGCAGGGAAAAAGGTGAATGACATAATAAGTGGGCAAAAGATTTGAATGGACACGCCCACAAGAGATGCACCTGATGCATGTGAAGAGACGGTCAGGGTCAACACCTTCAGTGCAGATGCAAATAAATGCCAATGAAATCTCTGTGAGATACTAACACACACCCGCCAGTGGGGCTACGGGTGTTGGTGAGGATGTGGAACTCTCATGCCTTGCTGGTGGGAATGTGAAATGTCACAACTGCTTTAGAACAGTCTGGTAGTTTCATATAAAGGTAGATGTATACTTTATGACCCTGCAGTTCCACTCCCAGGTATTTACTCAAGAGAAGTGAAAACAAAAGTACACACACACACACACACACACACACACAATTTTATACAAAAGGACTATTATTTTAACAGCCTAAGTCTGGAAGCAACCTTAACTATCCAGAGTGAGGCAATATACACACTGAGGTATATTTCTACAGTGGGAAACTGCCCAGGGATGAATCTCAAAAGCATACTGAGCCAAAAAAGCCAGACACGGGAGGCTGTATGTTATATGTTTTCATTTCTGTGAGGTTCTAGAAGAGGCATCTGTGGTGACAGAAAGCAGAGCCAGGGGCCTCTGGGGCAGGAAGTGGAGAGGAGACTGCTTGTAGGGGAGCAGAGGGAACTTCCGGGGATGGCACTAGTTTTCTTCGCCATTGATTGTGGCGGTGGTCACACCTTCATGTGTGTGTTTGACAAAACTCATCAGAGTGTGCACCTTAAAATGCCTGGATCTTATTGTGTGTCAGTTATACTTCAGTAAAGGTGAACAAAATGAAAAGCAGCCTGGGGGCGCCTGGGTGGCTCAGTCAGTTGAGCATCCGACTTCGGGTCAGGTCATGATCTCACAGTTCATGAGTTTGAGCCCCGTGTCGGGCTCTGTGCTGACAGCTCAGAGCCTGGAGCCTGCTTCGGATTCTGTGTCTCCCTCTCTCTGCTCCTCCCCCGCTCACTCTCTCTCTCTCTCTCTCAAAAATAAATAAAAACATTAAAAAAAAAAAACAAAAAAAAAACCAGCCTGGGTTGAAGGTGGGCTTGGGGAGATGTATCCCGGATGGAGAGAACACGGCAGAGCCGCTCCAGTGTGCTGAGTATAGGGCCTTGGGGAGGCAAATGAGTTTTGAAGGAAACGTTTGTATTTTACAATATAAGAAAGATTTTCAAGTTTGGAGATTATCACCGAGTTTAAATATATGAAGGTTCTAATTTTAAAACCCGATTTTTAAGGGAGATAGGACACTGATAATATAATTTGGGAATGTGGGGAAGAAAGCAGCTCTGGAGTCATGGCCTACTTCTTGTCTCCTCTGCCCGCATAACCCCCAGTACATAGATTCCACAGACTTGGAGCCCAGCACCCTGCAGGAGGAGCCCGTACGCTACCACGAAGCCTGGCAGAAGCTCTGTAGCGCCCAGTGAGTAGTGCCCTGTGCCTGGCTTCCGGGGGCTTGGGGGTGGGCTCGGGGAGCAGAGTGCCGGGCTCTTGTGCACCAGTAGTAGGTAATCTACTTTTTGAATGGCTTTTGATTACCGAAAGGGCCACAGTCTGGATGATTTAAGCCTTACAGAAATACAGCTTATCAGCACAGTTGAATCTGAAGAAAACATGACATTTGTCTTATGCATCTACTCATGAGGCTTAAAGGTTTTCACCAGGGCGGGGAGGGGGGGCACCTGGGTGGCTCAGTCGGTAAAGCGTCCGACTTCAGCTCAGGTCATGATCTGGTGGTTCCTGAGTTCGAGCCCCGCGTCGGGCTCTGTGCTGATGGCTTAGAGCCTGGAGCCTGCTTTGGATTCTGCGTCTCCCTCTCTCTGCCCCTCCCCTGCTCACGCTCTGTCTCTCTTTCTGTCTCTCTCTCTTGAAAATAAATAAAGGTTAAAAAAAAATTTTTAAAGATTTTCATCTGGAACATTTGATGAGGACCCTTCAGTGGAGTCTCATAGTTTGTTTTTGGCAGCCATTATTTATAATGGTAGAAAATCACAGAATTCTAGATCACTGGAACAATTGGATGTTATGGGGCCCTATAGCTATGAACGAGACCCCAAGCTCAACAGGCCGTCTGAGAGGACGAGGAAGGCTCCTTTCCCATTCAGGGGAGCACTTTAAGCCAAGAAGTAAAAAATTGCATTTATAGCAATATAACTTATACTAAATATTAGGAAAGAATCCGTGTGTGCCACCTTTTACCTGTAAGCGTTTTGTAGCATTACTCAGAAACATTTCGTGTGCATCTTTTTTTTTTTTTTTTTTAATGTTTATTTGCTTTTGAGAGAGAGAGAGTGCACGTCGGGGAGGGACAGAGAGAGAGGGAGACACAGAATCCAAAATGGGCTCCAGGCTCTGAGCTGTCAGCACAGACCCCGACGCAGGGCTTGAACTCATGAACCATGAGATCGTGACCTGAGCCCAAGTGGGACGCTTAACTGACTGAGCCACCCGGGCGCCCCTTCATGTGCATCTTCCAAGTTCATAGTATTTGGTGTTTATATACAGCTCACTGGCAGTCTTGCAGTCACGATATAGCCCCAGTGGCAAAACACGCGGAGTGACCTCGTGGCATCCGTGTCTTGGGAATGGCTCCTTGGGTGCTTACTGCGAGTTGGGCTGGTGGGCAGGGTCCATTGCCTTGTGGTGTGCTCTCTTGTACAGTGGAGTGCTGGTTCCCGGGGGATTTGGTGTTCGGGGGACGGAAGGAAAGATCCAAGCCATCGCCTGGGCTCGGAAACAGAAGAAGCCTTTTTTGGGTAAGGAGTAGGAGAGGTCAGGAGAAGGTGCCACATGGGAGCCTGTCAATAAAACAGGGAGGTCACTGGAAGCAAGCTTAGGCACCCTCATTCTAGATGTCAGCTCAAGTAGAAGCCAGTTTGGTTCTGTTTGGGAGAAATTCAGACTCCCTTAAGCGTGAAAAGTTTTAAGAGCTTGTATGTTCGTCCACGTGTCCGTGTCGTGGAACTTGGAGAGAATGAAATGGCAATCAGGAAATTTTGGCTGTTCGCTGAGCCCGGCTGTTGGGCAGGACATGTGAAGCTAGGTTTTATATCCTCACTTGGAATTTGGGCCAAGTGGTTTTGGATGCTTCCTGGTGCTGTAAATTGTAGTAATTTTCAACTTGATCCCTTGTAAATGAGAACCTAATGAGAGGATAAGAAAACTTGAAGTTTTAAATATGAGTAGAGTGTTGCTTATTTCTAGAACCAAATAGCTTCTAAAACTTGGCATCTTCATATGCACTTATATCCAGTGTTCGAAAGCTGATACAGATGACACAGCAGGGGGTGCATGTTTACAGCAGGAAAACATGAGAGTTTGTGATTGTCCTTTTGTGAGCAGACAGGACACAAAGTCCAGGACAGGCTGGTGGGAAACGTAGGAGCTGCCTTTTTAATGGAGCTTCATTTGTTTTTCCCCTCCACCTGCAAGGTGTGTGCCTAGGAATGCAGCTGGCAGTGGTTGAATTTTCCAGAAATGTGCTGGGATGGCAAGGTGAGTGTTCGTTAAACTTGTTACATTCTTGCCAAAGTGTTTTCCTGAAGCACGTGAAGCCTGCTGCCTCCTGCATGATGGTAGAGGAGGGCAGGCCTGGTCTCTCCGTACCTGGCGGGGAACAGCAAAGGGGAACCCTGTGTGCACTGAGGGCGCGCGCGTGGCTCTGCCAGCCCGACCACAGGAAGGAGGGGTCACAGCTGAGCAAGCAGCCTGGGCTCTCTGCCCCTGCATTTCCTGCTCTGCAGACTCCTGCATGTCCACCCCCGTGGCCACCATCCCTGGGCGTCTGCCGAGCAAGAAGCCGACAGCTCTGGCCTGTGTGAGGCTGTGCGGTTATCATGAACTTGGGCCCTGGAGCTGGTCAGACCTGAGCTCAAATTCTGAGTCACTTGTTGTGGGTGATTTTAGATAAATTACTTAGCCCTTTTGGCTTCTGTTCCTTCTATAAAATGGGGTGATAATGGTACCTATTTCTCATGGTTGTAAGAATTAAATGGAATAGTGCATGTGAATAGTCCCAGCATAGTGTCTGGCAAATAGGAAATACTCCGTAATATTGGCCCTGTGCCTGGCTAACTGTCCAGGCCACCCGAAAACTCAGTGGCTTCCAACGTTTTATCGTGTCTCCGTATGCTGTGGGTTGAGTGGACTCGGCTGGCTGGTTTTCTGCGCCCTGTATCTGAGATCCTGCCCCCCATCCAGCTCTGCCCAGCAGGGATATCCAGTTGGTTCTCTCCACGTGGCAAGGCTCCTCATTCACAGCCTGGCGACCTACCAGCTTCCAAAATGACCGGCCCAGTGTGTAGGCACTTAACTAGCTTGCTAATGTCCCAAGGCCAAGTGCAGTCGGTGGGGGACGGAACCACACAGCCCGAGGACTGGGGCAATGGAAGAGGCTAGTCTCTGTAGCCCACTTGACAGACATGAGGTTTTCAGAAAGACCTTACAAGTTGTAAGAAAAACAAAGCAAGCGTCCTGAGGCGTGTAAAAGCGGCCTGGCTCCACAAAGGATGAGCGGCTCTCCTGTGGCCAGCTGACTGTTAGGATTGGGTTCATTGCACATGTTTTCTGAGAGTTACCCTGAGGGCACGGTGGCTGTTTCATAGGCAGCATGCCCTGTAGTTCTGACTCCTGAGCCTCTGGCGGGCACCGTCTTAGCACCCACCACCCTAGAGCTGGCCCTCTGGGCACCCTGGACCCTTGCCCAGTTACAGTCTGTCGCCCACTCGGGTCCCCAGGTGGGTGAGTGACTTGGTGACAGGCTTAGCTTTGCTTGGGACCTGGCTGTGGTTAGGAACAGTACCTAGCCTGTCACACAAAAGGAGCCGTGCTGTACCAGGAACTTGATTCTTCTAGTCTTTGTGGTTTTGCTTATGGTTAGACCATAAATTCAGTAAAGGAGAGGAAGGCTTATTTGGGTGTTGAAATCAGTTCCTGATGTAGCTGCTGAGGGAGGCAGTGGGGCAGTGCAATGTAGGATGCACAGGAGGACAGGAATGTATTCCAGCCCGGAGAGATGCAGCCTGAGAGGAAAAATGGACAGAACAGTGTAAGAACTGTCATAAGGATGCGTTATCTAAATAAAGGTTATGAGGTTGTGCCATTGGTTTTGATTTCCCCATTTTGTGCAGCTTGACTTCCCAGAGAGTTAACAGGTGTAATGGAAAAACTCACCTGTGTTTGTGCACTGAGTCCTTCACGTCTTAACATTATCCTTAGTTTTGTTCTAATCACCTAAGGATCGCTTTACATCGAGGAGGGAAATTGTGAGTTAGGGCTTAGGAATGACACTTTTCAATAATCAGGTTTGTTCGTAACTCTTTTCGTAACGTAAGTGTTTTGATTTTTCAGATGCCAACTCTACAGAGTTTGACCCTAAGACCAATCATCCTGTGGTGAGTCCAGGGTTTGAACGTTACCAGGGCTTAGAAGGGTGTGGAGGGGGCGGGCACCGGAAAGAGACCCCCTGGATCCACCCAGAGAACCCTCAGACCGGATAGAAAGAACTTTTTTATTTTTCATTGTGCAGTTTCTCACTTCTCTTCCCAGTTCGCAACAGAAGGTTTTTAAGATGGGTATCACCCCAGCCAACCAGGGTGGTTCCTGATTAAAATCACTCTTCATCCCCACTCCCCTTAGCCCTTAACTCCTCTTAGCACTCTAACGATCGTTTTGTACTGACACGAGACACCCACATAGGCACTTACTATGCGCCAGGCACTGTTCTCACCACTTAACGTGTATTCATTCATTCCATCCCCGACAACCCTGGGAGACGGGCATGTTATTCAGGAACCATGGAATATGGTTCTGATGTGTTTAACGGTAACCAAAGCTTTTGGAGGCCCCCGTACCTTGTGTGATGTCTCCTGTCAGAGGCATATGGCTCCTGGGGAGGAATAGCGCCTTTACCCGTCTTTGAATCTCCTATCCCGGGGGTGACAGGCGGGCTCTTGGTACCAGAGACACTGTGATAAACAAAGTGGACCAAGCTCTTGATCTCAGGGCATTTAAACAGCATCGGGATATGCTTGTTGACCTGCAGTTGAACTTTGCTAATACTAAGAGCTCAGGAGGAGAAGAATGAAGGGTTTGAAGTGTGCAGCCTCGGGGTGGTGGGAAAGCAGGGCCAAGATAGGGGCCTGGAGGCCTTAGAAAGTGCTCAGAGGAGCCCGGGACCGAGCGGTGGGCTGGGCTCCCGTGGCAGGGGGGGCCTCAGCCTCTCCGCCCCACACACGTCCGCCAGGCTCCCGCCTAGACCCGGCAAACCCTGGAGAAGCATCCCTGTCCTCTGAGTGGCTCATGAGTCCGGTGGAGGGGACACGTGCTGTAACATCAGCATATCCTGTCTTGCATCCGTGCCGCTACGTTAGTCTCCAGAGCGTGTTGTGGCCCAGCAGCCCTCATGGTCCGAAGTGCTGGGGGCAGGAAGGGCCGCGGGCAGGAGCAGCTGTGTTCGGTCCTACAGCTCAGGAGGATAGGCTAAAGGATTAAGCTGCTACCCAACACAGGTTCACAGAACGATTATGGGGAGGCATTTCCCCAGTGACAAACATCTCTTGTAAGGAAGGGCTGGGGAATCAGAGCCTCCTGCCAGGCTCTTGTCACTCAGTGTAGGCAGTCTGCTAACGGAGGCAGAGTTTGGTAGCGTGTGTTTGTTTTTTGAACACCTCCAGGTCATAGACATGCCAGAACACAATCCTGGGCAGATGGGCGGAACCATGAGGCTGGGCAAGAGGAGAACCCTGTTCCAGACCAAGAACTCGGTCATGAGTAAGAGCGGCCTCTCACCGGCCCCGCCTTCAGCTCTGCGTGCCCAGGACGCACGTCTTGGGCTGCTGCTGGGGCTCCGAAGAGCCAGGCTGACTTTTTTAGTTTTGTTCTTGCTTTTGAGGTCTTTTTTTCCCCCCTTCCTAGTCACATTCTTCTAGGATGTGCTGTAATAACCAGAGAAGCAGTGTGGCTCTTAGAAAGCTTGCAGGCAGTGCGGTCAGGGCCCTGGGGGCCTTGGGTGTGGGCGGCTGACCAGAAGGAGGCAGGTGAAATCTCCCCACACAGTCTGTCCTGTACCTCGTCTGTTCGGTTGAACCGAATTAAACTGCCAATGTTGGCGATTTCTGTCCCCCAGAAAGGCAGTTTCGTATGGTCCAACCTAACAAGGTTTTAGTCGAAAAGTACTAATACGCGCTAAAGATGTAGAGAAAATTGGGGCGGGGGGGAACATTTAGGAGAATTACTCCATTCAGTCTCGTTTTCTTGCCCACTGGGAAAATTCTGTCTTTACTAGCCGGGGCCCCATGTGTCTGTCAGTTTGAGTCACTTGAGTAGGTGGCCTTGGGGTCCTTCCAGCTCTGTGTTCTGTGGACTTGGGGGCCTCACCCCGCAGCCCTGGTGCCAAGGCTCTTTGCGCCTGTGACTTAACCGCATGGCGCTGCCCCGAGGACCATCCCTGTAGCTCTGGAAGTGTCTTTCTAGGCTTCCACTGTTTGATATGTCCTGGTGTGTTTTCCAAGGCAGTTTCCAGCAGGAAAGCGCTCTTGTACCTCAGTAATCGAGGTTGGAGGGTGGTGATGGAAAGGAAACAGCTGTTCTAGTTTTTCTTGGTGTGGTCAAAACAGTCCAAGCCCAAGAATTCATGCAAATGGTGCTGCAGTAGGCAGGAGGCTGTGGTTGCCTGGAGAATCCTAGAAATGACCTTCAAAAGGCCTGGCTGTGTAGGTGATTCAAAAGTAAACTGGGAAGCAAGAGGCAGTAGTGAATAGATTGTTCTGTGAAATCAGGACTCTTTACGGGAGCATGCTTGCTTTTGCCAGGGAAACTCTACGGAGACCCGGATTACTTGGAAGAGAGGCACCGCCACAGATTTGAGGTAAGGGGTGGAGCTCTGTGGCTTTTAAACCTTCCTCCTTCCGGTTACTCTAGAGAAGTAAGCTGAGAGGTCAGTCAGCTTACTCTTCATGTTTCCATAGGTGAATCCAGTCCTGAAAAAGTGTTTGGAGGAGCAGGGCTTGAAGTTTGTTGGCCAGGATGTTGGGGGAGAGCGGATGGAGATTGTGGAGCTGGAGGGTGAGCGCGGGGTGGCTGTGCGTG